TGTCCAGGCGTCTGGTTGTCCGATGGTGGAAAGGAGAGGGAGAAATTAAGTCATGCATTTCCTGCATACACTCTCTGAAATTCATCCTGTAGAAAACCGAATGGCTGGCTTCTTTGCACCTGCGTTCGAGATTGGGGAGTTATAACCATATTCGTGTCACCAATTAGCCTCTTAGCTCGCCTTTGGAGTATCAGCTCATATATAGCAGTCAAAAAAATATATATCAGCAATAATCTATGCACGGCGTGGAGTACCGCCGCACCTTGGCAAGGACTCTTAGCTTCCTTGCAGCTGTTTTAGCCTTGGAATCGATGAACTGCCCGAGGTTTAGGTTTAGGCGGAAATCTCAGCCCTCGACGATTTAGGTTTGCGGAAATCTCAGCCCTCAACGACTGAAGGTTGTCGGTGAATTTCAGTGATACATCTCAGAAAGAAGAAGCCAAGATGAGCTGGCCTCTTTTGCAGTGAAGAGACACGCTTGTGTTTTGATTATCGGATCATTTAGTTGATCAAGGAACCACTCCTCATTGACGCAGTCACTAGCAAGATGGTTAAGCGTAACCGTCAGAACTTTCCTGCCTTGGTTTGGACTGATGGGCTGTACAGTTAGCGACTTTCTGGAGCAGTGATTGAGGCAGTGGAGATGGTTCTTTGTCATCTAGGCAAGCGGAGTAAAAACCGGAATGCCGCATCAACATACTCGTTTCAGAGGCTGAAATATACTCATACCTAGTAACAGGTATCGATGAGGCGGGTATGAAACAGTTAGTTTGCGGTGTGTTTTATGCACCCTTGACAAAAGTGCTTAACAGTTTTATACGGCCTTAATAAGATACACGCACATAACGGTTGGGTCAAGCCTATTCTCATATATACCTTTGGCATACACAGGCGGACACAAACTAAACATAACGCCCTGAATAGAAATGTCCGCACTTCTACAACGTCCCATAAAATTCATCATAGGCGTGTTGTTAGGCGTGACTTTTTAAGCGTTCTCTCCATGCATAATTGCGAAGTGTGTAAGTGCTTCTTGACGTGATCACATAAGGCATTCTGTAAGGAGGTCATTATGTGTGATAAAGAGCTTACCCCTCTTCTTAGTGTTAGCCAACGAGCTATGGCAAGATCCGGCAATACATTGCGTCTCCGAATGCGATTCTACTAGGCTCTATACGAGCTTTTTGTAGGCACGGTCGTCTCCCTCAACTGACAACGGTTCGGTGACCTCTTTGGGGAAACCGGGTGTTTTTCGATGTGATACAGGATCAAGATCAGGTTATTAAGACCAACAACGATCGAAGATATAGTGCCTTTCGGATGTATCTTCCGCCATCCCGATGAGTCACTTAGTCTTGTCGACTCGTGGATCGGAAACTGCATTAGTATAAGTACTTACCCGCTCAAAAATGACCGCACTAGGCTCTACTAAGACCGGGAAATCATTACAGACAGTACTATTCCGTATAATCGTGTTGATAAACCGATCACAATCAACGATATTTTTGATCGAAATTACGATTCCATATAACGAGGACCTTGTCAAAGCCAAAACAGATTAACTAACATAATATCTTAACTTCTGTCAAACTATTAACAAAGTATCTACAATACAAAATATCTACCCTAGGAACTAAGACGTAATGCCTCGTTTTCAGTAAAAAAAAGGTCTTCGGTTCCCTCTCACCATACGAAACACAGCAGCATTAAACTATATTCTGTGAGAACGTGGTCCTTCGCCTGTTGATTTGACCCATTCGTGATACAACCATAATATGCCTGTACTGTGGCTCTGCCACGTGTGAACGTAGCGCAAAATTACGAGGGTGATATAGATATGATTAAAAAATTTATTTCGTTCAGCTCAATGACTACAATAGTGTCTCCCAACGTACACATCTTAAGATGAACATGGACAAAACAAAGATCATGTGTAAGGTCCATATCACACCTATGCCGGTAGTTGTTGGAAGCACTTACCTCGAAGTTGTTCAAGAGTATGTTTGCCTGTGCCAAATAGTACAGTCTAGGTAAGTCCGACTTCGACCGAGAGGTCAATCGACGGATTCAACTCAACTGGACAGCGTTCACAGCATATCTTCTCGTCAGGTATACCTCAAAACTTGAAATAAAGATTGTATGAACAGTGGTGTCTTGGGAGTTTGTCTCATTACGTATCATATTAATCGAAGATATTACAAAGAGTTTGGTATTTATCGCCCTTTTGAGACCTGATAAGACAAGCAGGAAGTCGATGGATGCGGCTGGCTCGGCTTTGTGGCATTCTCTTGGAGAGGCCTAAGTTCATCAGTGGATTGGTGAAGAACTGCAATGATGAAGTGAATTAATAGCCGGCATTATATGAACTTTCATTTTAGTGTCAGATTCACAAAGATATGGTGGCAGGTCGTAATAATTGTACTGTATATACTATATACTCAGCCCTTAATATCTTGTTGAAGTGAAAACTTCTTTAGAATCGTTATAATTTGAAACTGGTTCAAACAAAAACGAGACACTAAAAAGAGACAAACATATCCTATACCTTTAAACGAGCAATTATATATATATATATATATATATATATATATATATATATATATATATATATATATATATATATATATATATATATATATATAATTGGAATCTCGGAAACGGCTCCAACGATTTTCATAAAATTTTGTGTGCAGGGAGTTTCGGAGGCAATAAATCGATCTAGCTAGGATTTATTTTTAGAAAATGTCTTTTTGTCCGTATTTTTAGGCAATGAAAAACTGCTACAATATCGTTACAATAAGAAGGTAAATTTTCACAGTTTATTAATGTTTATAAATTGCTTAATTGGTATATTGGGCGGTCACAAAATCGTAATACCATGGTTCGAGCCCAGACCGATCGACCGACTTTTTAAAATGTTTTTTCAAGTTCCATTCTTTTTTGAGAAAATCTATTTTTTCGTGCCCTTTTTTTAGTATTTTTTAAAAACACGAAAATTTAAATTAAACTAATTGCACTCATGATTTTTATTCAAATAACCAGTTCAGTTTTTTCTATTATGTCGCTACGATCAAAAAATATTATTCGTATTTCATCAGTATGTAATTTGTATATAAATATAATTTCCAAAACACACGAATTAATAAAAAGCGAGCGAAAAATACCGAGCAAAGCTCGGTCAACCGAGTACTACATTACATATACAAAAAAAAGAAAAAAAAGGTAACACTTCTAGCGTGTGTGACTACTGCACATATGTTTTTTAAATTATTATAACGATATAATTACATAAAACATAATATAACCTGTATTTGGATATGCCCCACAACTTTCATAAAGTTTTTAATTACAGATAATTTTGTGTTTATTGCAATATACACGTATATTCAGCAGAGCCTTGATATAATTATTGACCGACAGACTAGCCACTTATTTACCGTAATTATAATCAATGAGTAACCACTCTGACAGGAAACGTGACTTAGCATTTTGCTGAGTTGCTTTGGAGATGACCTAAGAGTAGGGCTGCGATGTGATTTATTACTATTTATGTTATTTGAAAAATATTTCTGAATATCTTTTTCAAATTAAATTCTTACATGTCTCCAACATTTAAATTCTATATCTACATGAACGCTTGTAAAAAAAAATATTTTAATCATTCAACTGTCATTTATATAAACTCGTTTAACGAAATTGCTTTATGTAACTTAATCTCCGTAATAATTGCTTTTGTAAAAAAATCCTTAAAAATCTCTACACTCACCATACGAAACACAGCAGTATTAAGCTGCTATTTTACGCTGGTATTCTGTGAGAGCGTGGTCTTTCCCCGGTCGAGCCGACCCATTCGATCTACAACTATAACATAGCTACATAGCTCTACCACGTATAAAAATACATGTGTAGGAGCGTTAGTAAAATATATTTTAATGACGGCATAACAAAGATAACATGGCCGTCAAATGTCTAAATATCCACCACTCCATATCTTCCCGTGTGTAGGAAAACTTAAACAGGAGATGAGCATTCATATCCTTATAATAACTCAAAATTAAAATAAAAACTGCGGTTACCAATCTATGGAAGACCTGTGTTCAGCACTGAACTTTTATTGGCTACAATGGACAAAAGTATACTCAAAACTATTTAAAGCGCTTTTTAAAGAAAACTAAGCTATCACTATAAATTATATTTTACATTATATTTTGTTATAATTAAGACATTTATGTACATATTAATGATAACATAAATCTCTAATTAGGAACAATATTGCTGGTCGTCACCAGAGCCAACCCTTTACTGGTGCATTCAGATGAGGTTTTTCCTATCCGGCCTTCAGTGATGTTGATTGTTCTAAGTCCAACAGTCAAGGATAATACGTTCTAACTTTACAATGTCAAAGATTTATTTTATAGTAGCTAAACTTAGTTTCTGTCTGAAATATATAATATCAATATCGTTAAATAATTAAAACATACCTTTGCCATACGAGTAGTGTGTTTTTATACACATACATTTATACACACTCCTGACTTCACTGAAAATCAGCGTTACGAACTGATGTCTATCTTCAATTTGTAACTAAAAGCTGATTGGAGTCCACTATTGTGCTGTGTTTTTTTATATATTTATAAAGATGAAAAGTATTTTTTCTGTCTTACTTGTTTGAGTTTTCTTTATTATAATGAAAAACCATATAAATTTTTTTTTTTTTTTTTTTTTTTTTCTTCTACTGTATTTCTATCTTCTTTCTTTCTTAATTGTATGTTTCAAAGGCATTTCAATAATATATAAATAGTGTTGTGTTTATAAGGATACTTTCAACCGAATGTATCCATTCTATTTATGATATTATTTTAATATTACTTTTCAGATCTCTGAAAAGTAATAGTTTATCAAAAATTAAACTTTCCGAATTTAGGAGGTATAACTAGTTAGTAAGAGTTTTATATTTAAGTAAATAGATCACTGTCCAAAAGTAAGATTTTTTATTAAAATTATGCAAAAATAAAATCTTTTGGATTATCTTCGTATACACATTTCGTTGTCCAATACGATGCTTCACACAAATCTTTGTATTTCTTAGCTGGGGAAAAACAATATTAATTAAACTTTGGTTCACCATGTCTTATAACTTTTTAAATTATGAAAAATGTTATAAGTATTAAGTTAATTTTATCTTCCATGCACTCTAAACTCAAGAGCCTGTAAACAATTTACTGCTCTGCATAGGCCCCTTCACTAATATACAGGAGTTTGTGTATTTGTTTATAGAATAAGGATGAGCAACAAGCATACAGTTCACATATTGGTGAATAGATACTGTGGCTAATAGATACGTAGATCTTTCTTCAATTAAGAATCAAAAGACACCTCATTACCAGAAAAAAGGGTATCCCATTCTCTACGCTCACCATACGAAACACTATTAAGGTCTATATTCATTAAGCTGCTATTTGAAGCTGATATTCTGTTACAGCATGATCCTTTCCCAGTCGAGTCGACCATTAGTGTATAATGTGGCTACAGCGTAACTTGATTTTTACACGGATTTACGTATATTGGTAACAGAGTAGTGGCGGTGTAAGAAATAAGCGGGTCAGCAGCATCTTCCTGATAATAACTCAAAAAAAACTGCATTTGCCAAAATGCTTGTCAAGTGAGGCTATTACGGCAAATATACACCTAAGTGGCAACCTATGGAATAAGTCTTTGTTAAGCAGTCGACTCTTGATATGCTATAATTAATAAATGAATGATGGATAATATCTTAAGGGAGAAGAGAGGAAAACGGGCAATATGTGCGAAATAGATTTATTGGCGGTTGTGAAAAAGCAAAGAAAGAAGGGGCAGACCGCGCTCGTGCAGCAGTGATTATAATAATATCGTAGCAGTGTAGCCTCAGTGTATGTTCCGTGAAGCTAAAAATAGGCATTTTCAGCAGTGAGCTTTTTATAGACCGTAATGGTACTAACTTTAGAGAAACTTAATCCCGGTCCAGTAAATGCAAATGACTGCATTAGCTTATATTCAATTTATAGAAATACCGGTAATCCCGATTATATTCATACGAATCCATCATTGCGCAACTTTTGCTCAGCTTATTTGGATAGATTTTGGCAATAATCCATTCGGCACAATTAACATTGTTGCTTATTGTTTATATGTGAGCTAATGAAGGATAAGAAAATAAAAAGTATAAGACACAAATTAATGATGGTCCTTTCACTCTGAAAGCAAGATTTTCCAGATTACCATTTACGCAAAGAACTGTAACTTCATGTGTTTTATCTATGTTTGTAAACAAAAATGAAAAATAATACAACCATATCAGTATAATTTAACATACTTATCCTTTACATTTATTCAATTCTACCATATATCTTGACTTGCAATTAAGTGCGAAAAAAATTGGATGATTAGCTTTTTCGTATTAGTCCAAGAAATCACAATATAACTTACATACATCTTTACATTTTTCGATTGAAGCTTTTACTGAGTCCTTAATCTCAGGCGGATACATCATGTCCACTTGTTTAATCGAAGCTTCGTAGCTCAATTTGTTATTTTTAACCTAAAATAAAAGTTTTATATTTAACTCCTAATCAAAATTTAATTTATATACGAGAAAATGTGTGTTTTAAAATTTTGACACAACGATTCATTCAAATACGAGCGAATTTGTAAATATTTAAACACTTGGCTGGTTACCGCTAGTAAATAATTAAAAATAAAAATAATTTACGCACAACTTGAGTCATCTGATAAATGCAAGCAATGTAGCACATTACGTTCCTCTGTTCAATAAATTTTCCTTTATCTATATCACCAATTAAATCTGAAAAATAATTTTATGTTTCAAATAGGAGCCCATTATTATTTTACTTTTCCCAATAACAAATTTTTATAATTACACGAATACAACAAAATAAATAAATAAAATAAATAAAAATGGTTTTATTTCAGTAAATCTACAATTAGTTTGACGAGGCCTCCCAGAAAGTAATCATAAGATACTTGTGTTGGGAAAAAATCGATTAAAACTTATTTTCATTTCACGTTAAGTTACCTTCAGTGACGTCGTTTTTCTCCATGCATTTTTTCTTCAACATCTTTCCGGTATTCTTCAATTGTTGCCTGGTCATCTGTTGTAGAATATAGTTACTTTTACCTCTAATAAATTACCCTAAACTTACTAAGCTAACCAGGCCTTTGCCTTCAAATTTATTAACCAAATTTTAATTTCTGGATCAGTATCCCTGACACCGTTATACTAATTTTAAGATATCCTTTACTACGTTCTAAAAAATCGTAAGAAAGCTTCTATTTCTAGAATAAATAACAAGTTGTGTGTCGGGGTAAGGCAAGGTTCCGCTCGCAGATTGTCTCTAGAATTGTTTAAATTTTTCAATGCTACAGTGCGTTTAGATATAGATTATTTATAGTATGTCAAGTTGCATTATTTAAAAAGTTAGACCGAAGGAGGACACACTACAAGAATAAACTATATTGCAGGAATATATTTTAATATTTTTATCTTATTCGATAAAAATGTTGGAACTCGGTCTATGGTTTAAAATTTCAGATCAACGGTGAGAGCAAAGTTATCAGATAGGATTTCCTTATATAAACTTTAGTTAATTAAATAGGACATAAGCAAATTAAGTAAACCCCAACTAATAAATTATCCAGTTAGATTTTGATAGTATCTCATACTTACCGCGTCTGTTCCAAAAGCAAAGATGATAACAAACATCAACAAACATAATTTGAGACGAGCTAATATCATGGTCTAATGCTTTCTTTCAGGAAAATATAACAAAGAATGATTTTGAAATGTCATATCTAGGTTATTTAAAGGCTATTTATTAGTACTGCACTAGGCAAATACTGTTCAATCATGTAGTAAAACATTGTTTAGTACATAATTAAATATGCTCGTTAAACAAACACATGATTAGAGCGTTGCATGTGAAACATTTTTAATTAACAACTTCGAACTTATGTAGAACAAGAAATAGGAAAAGTTTTTCTGATGTGTTTAGTTTTATTTTACTTCCTTTTTAAGACAAAATAATACAAATGCAGCTGCTTAATTTTCATTACATTAAGTATTATCATTTGAATATCATTAACATAACTAATTACTGACTGCATAATTAATTATCCTCAGTGACGTCAGTCAAGTTATTAATTATGTCGTCAGTGAGAGAAGCCGTGGTAGCTCAGATGGTTAGCGCTCACTGTAAATTTCACAGTACGCGAGCAAACCGGGTTCGATCCCCGCCGGCACCAATGAAATTGTTAATTGCAATTTTAAGTGCTGATTTACCACGTGCTCGGCGGTGAAGGAAAACATCGTGAGGAAACCTGCATGTCAGAGAAATAAGAAAAAAATATTTCGAAGACATGTGAAGTTCGCCAACAAGCATTGGGGCAGCGCGGCGGACAATTCCTTGCCCTAAAACCCTCTCAGAAATGAGCGGAGGCCTGTGCCCAGCAGTGGGACGTACATAGGCTGTAACTTTACTTTACTTACTTTACAGTGACGTCATGGTTTGCTGTCGCCCGGAGCCGCTACAGTCAAAAATGTCGTACTTCAAAATACAGGGTTTTAAAAATTATTACACGCTAAACTCTCTCCAGTTAAAATAGGACTCTCGTCAGTTAAAATAGGCATCTTCCCCTAAACCCCTAAACTAAAATGTTCAGTAAACTATATGAATTTTTAGTTTTATAATGATTTCTTATATTTACGCGAACACTAGACACCGAATGATACTACTTTTTACAGATTTTACCGAGTTTAATTTTCGTTTGACGTTTCGGGTGCTTTCCAGCACCCATGGTCACGGAGGACTGAGGTAATTGACGTCCCAATGTTGTCTTTAGTTTTTTAATTATTACTTTTGATCCGATCTACGCAGAATGAATTTACTGTAAATAAAAATACCAATTACTTTGCAACCTTCCGCTAACTACGGACGGTACGGTAACGGTAGCATCTAGCCTCCTTCTCTATTAAAATTGGGATTTTTTTTTAATTTCAATAGCCTAACTTATCATCCTTGGCATCAATTTATGTTCTTTCCCGAGGATTTGTGGTTTATCAAATCTGATGTAATAGCGGGGGCCGTCTAGCATATGATCACAAACTGCAGACTTTGGTAGTCAGCGTGTTTCGCGTCAGCCATATGTTGCTATGACCATGGGTGCTGGAAAGCACCCCAAACGTCGAGTATTAAAGTTAAGAAAATTAAAGGCGATAAAATTTGTAAAAGTAGTTTTTTATTCAATTTTATTTTTATGTTTGGAAATCTTCTTATTGTTAACTTAACCACTTTTATGTTGAAACAAGTTTGTTATCTTACTTAGCTTTAAATAAGCTAGTATATTTATCCACCACCAAGCGCGTTTGAACGGATTCTAAAAAAATTTGGCATAAAAGGAGAAAAGCGTGGAATATGATACATATAGGACCCTTCACTTCTTATAACAATATTATTCAAGTTTTATTTATGACCAGAGGACGCATGCGAGGAAATGTTAGGAATCTATAATGTAAATCAATATAAATGCAGTGGTAACAATAACTTAGATACTTTATTGAAAATTTGGAAATATGAAATAGTACACTTCTTAAAAAAAAAGAGAAAAATAATATAATAGGGAAAATAAAATTGCACATGAAACTGCAGCAGCTAAAGTTTTTAAATGTCGATTAAGGAAAGAAAAAGTTGTCTGGATCCGCTTCATAAATGCATTTTGCAGTCCAAAATGATGCTTCGCAAATATCTTTATATGCCTTAGCTGAAACAGTATACAAGTGGAAGTATTAACTACATTTATTTATATACAATTAGAATTAGTCTTATCTTTCAACTATTATTGTATAGTCAACATTATGGTATAGTCACGCTGCAGCTGAATCATAGTTTCAGTTGGTACGAACTGGTCTACAGGACAACACTCTCACAGAATACCAGCGTAAAATAGCAGCTTAATACTGCTGTGTGTCGTATGGTGAGTGTAGAGATCCGGAGACCTATTTTATTGGAAACTAGGCATTCCATCTTAGTCCTCAGGAGTGACAACGCATCAGCGTTTTGTTACTTAATCGAGGATAAATGTAGATATCTATGAGCCACAGCATCCACTTACGATCAGGTGGACTGTGTGCTCGCTTGTCACCTTTATTCTATAAAAAAAACACATGGTTAGGCTCATATAGGGAAAAACTATGCTCTCAAAGAATAAAAGTAGTAAAGCAGTTGCATAGTGGTTTGCTGTTTCGTATGGTGAGTGAATAGAACCGGAGACCCATTTTACTGGTGATGGAGCAATCCATCTTATTCTTCAGGGGCAATAATGCATCTGAATATTGCTTCTTAATAAACTATACGATTGTGTGTTCGTTTGATAGCTTTACTTCATTATTAATACATTTCATTTAGTTCAAGTCGATTTCTCTCGCAATGACAGACGTTTTAGCAAGACCGTTTATTATACACACTCTTATAAATATAGACCAAAATAGAACCTAATTGACTCTGAACACTATGAATAATATTGTGGTGGATCGGACTGAAAATTCCAGACGGGTTCGTGAGCAGCTGGTGGATGTACTCCGAGGGTGGCTGCGGGCACCCTTGGTGTCCATGCCGCAGGCCCAGTCTTACAAATTTGCTCGACAAAGCGAATTTGATGCAAACGTTATGCTTTATAAATACTTAGATAAGCTGAAGAAATTGTCCCGTTCTATTGCACCTCGAGAGCGAGGGTAGGAATGTTTATAATTTGTTATGGTTAAGAATTAATTTTTGTATAAGGCATAAAATAACGACATACGAAATATACGTCGCAATGTGTGTAATGATAGTTGTAATTTTCATTATATAAATTTAAAAAAATTACAAGAATACAATTATTTTGTGTTGCACGTTTACACAGCGTCTTGCATTTACATAGCATTAAGTGGAATGCGTGCTCAATTGCCTCCCTTGCTTCTATGAAAGTTGCCCTTACTTGTACAAAACTTGTTTCACAAAATGTATGCAAAACAACTCAGGACCACTCAGGACACTTAAGATGGACGTACTCGTTTGTTTGTCATGCACGCTTTTCTGCACTTATTTATTGCAATTTGATAAAATAATACGAGTAGTTTTAAGTTATTAATATCTCAATAAAGTTACCAACTACGTACCAACTCCCCTGCATTTCTCTATGGCCACCTTAGCTGGTTCTTTCATTTCCGTAGGGAACATCAAGTTAATTTGTTTTATCATTGCATCGTGAATAATTTTATTGTTTTTTACCTACACCGGAAAATTTTTGTTAATAAATATAATAAGACTGCAGTTTTATGACGATGTTTAGTAATAAACTATTTAAATTTATTATTTAATTGCCTTTAATAAATACAACCTATAGAAAATGGCGTCATAGGTACAAAATTAGAATATTGTGCATAAATAAAGGTTTTAAATACTTATTAATATATTAGCGTGTTTATCAAAATACAAAATATTACATGTGTAATGAATATGTTTAAAAACATCATGAACATACCGCTTGACCAGTAGTATATACGCAGGCAATGTAACACATTACATTTTTGTCTTCAACGAATTTACCTTGGTCTATTGCTCCAACTTGATCTAAAAAATAATAAGCAACTAAACATAAATGAAAAACGACATTTAAAACGACCGCGTCGCATAGTAATCACAGCATCGTATCATCTTATTGTGATTTTAGACTTTTGAATTCTGGGTGTTTTATGTACATATAAATGTTACACCTAGATACGAACAATTAATCAGTTTACCGTCCAAATATATATTTAATACTCTGCCTTATAGGAACATCAGTACTCAACAGTATTCAGCAGTCAGCCAAAAGCATCCATAGATGTCCTCAAATGCCAACTTATCTTTGCGTTGCATGCTAGTCATCAAGAAAAAGCAAGTACAATTAGTTGATAGTTTAAAATCCATACAATCTTCACCTCAAATTTGAAAGGCTATAGGGAAGTGAGGGTTTATTCCATTTATCCACTATAACTAGGGTTGATAATCAGAAACGCGTATTCGTTTGTCCACCCTAGACGGGGTGGATAATCGGAATTCACTTTTTAATTGTTGTTTCGCCTTTCCACCCCAAGTACAGTACAACATAAAATATTAATAAGTATTGTCAAAGACCCCACTTTACCGATGCAAGTATCATTTAGAGGTAAAAACCTCATACGATTTGCAAATAAAAATTTATTTCTAATTTATATGGTCGTATTTTGTGAAGTAAAGTTACTACAATACATTTAAATACTGATTCTGATAACATACTTAAAGTGAACCACAGGGTTTTTGTTACATGTTGTATTGATCTTACCTTCCGTGACACCAGTTTTAGGCATACAAGTCTTCTTTAATAGTTTACCCGAGTTTTTCATTTGCTCTCTCGTCATCTATAATAAATATATCTATTTAAATCAGTTAACTTGTTTATAATTTTTTTTATAATAACAGTCCATCACAAATGAACATATTATGTCGCTAATAGATTGCCAATAAAACACGGCCCTAAAATCCATGCAGTTTTAGGTATGCAAGTCTTCTTTAATAGTTTGCCCGAGTATTACATTTGCTGTTTCGTCATCTATAATAAATATATTTAAATCAGTTTACTTATTTATATTTTTTTATAATAACAGTCCATCACAAATGAACATATTATGTCGCTAATATCATGAATATAATAGCATGATCATGAAACTTTCTTTAATACTTTATGGTAAATATAAATAATTTGTCATAACATTTATTATCAGCGTTATAGCCAATTCAAAGTCAATGAACATATGTCTCCCCAGGGACGCCACAAAGCACGGTCCTGACCATCCATCGACTTCTTGCATCTCTTACCAGGTCGTTACTCCATGTAGAGTGGTGAGCCGCCCCTCACTTTACTTATAAGGTTAGAGAGGCCACCACTCGAGTACCTTTTACCCCATGGGTGGTTGGTTCTTCGAGCTATATATCTGGCCCGGCCCATTGTCACTTCAGCTAACTGATACTGTTGATATCAACATTTCAAATTCAATCATGTAGAGAAATTTAGAGCATAGCCCTCTCTATCGCTCTCTGAATGACCTTGAGCTTCATCGTATGGCCAGCAGTGATGCACAACATATGTTTTAGATACATATGTCATTATTGGTCATATGCACTGGTTGTACACTCTTATTTTCGGATTTTGAGGTCTACGCGGTGCAAAGATGTATCGAAATCTCCCTTTGAAAAAAAAACGCTGCCTAGATGAGTTGGATCTATCGATTGACACGTGATTAACTTTGTCTGACTAGGTAAGTCCAACTTTGATCACGAGTCAATGAAAACACAAGTCAAAACATACTAGTCAAACCTTCGAGCGCAGTGCTCCCAACAACTACTGACATAGGTGCGACACGGACGTTACACATAAATTGACTTATCCATGTTCCTTTTAAGACCTAACTTTGGGAGATACTTTTGAGGTTAAGCAGTTTTAACTTTTAATGCAGGAATCCGCCAGTGATTCTGGCATAATTACTATATCGTCCACAAATCGAAGTTGAGCGATATACTCGCTTATAAGTCTTTCAATGCAGCGCTGAGGAGTTTCGGGAATATAGTATCACGCTGTCTAACAGCTCCTCAACAGTTAGTGTAGGCAGGTTTAGTACTATAATTCTGTGGTTGAATAGACATCGGAGCCCTACTGCATAAGCACTTCAACACTTCGGTATACCAACAGTCAATTTGGCACCGCTGAAGGAACTATAGTACCGTCCATTTTTGACGAGATCAAAGGCTTTCTCTTAGTCCACATAAGCAAGACAAAGTGGTAGATTGTATCTATGGTCTTCTGTAATATTTTCCAAAGGGATTATTTAAGGTCTATGGCACTTAATCCTTTTCAGAAACCAGCTTATTCGGGAGGCTGGAAATTGTTAAGTGTATGTTTAAGATCTCGACAACTGCACGTAGATACGCTTCTGAAAGGAAATCGGTATGCAGTTTTTTAGTTAAGCGTTGTTATCTTATTCGAAGACTTGATTTGAATTGAGAACGGAATAGAAGAGCTTCTGGAAGACTTCAATTACCGATTTTCCCTCACTTTCAGAAACCCTTGTGAGTTCATCTACGCCTGGGGCCCTGCCAGTTTTAAAGTGATCATTGAAATAGTGTTAGATAAGAATTGCTCTTGGGTCTTTACTTACAATTGCGCGATGCTCCAACGATGATGTATAGAACCTCCTAATCTCAGATGAAAATCTCAGATGTTCCGGAAGTAACACCACCATATTCGATCTTCATCTTCGACAGTCGACTTATCTATTATTATTAACATATCACCATACATCTCCTCCACTTACTTATCGGAATGTGCAGAGATTGGTACAGAAACCTGTACGACAGTCGACGAATACTGCTTGGTACGCAACCTTTCTCGATACACCAACTATCACTACGTTGCTGATGAGAGACTTGTGGACAATAAATCTGACAATTTCTTGGTTTTTCCAAGGTTATGGTCGTTCTCCCTATTATTATATCACTATCCCTATTATTATTATATTCCTATTATTATATAACTATTTACAGGACCCGAGGGTTAATATACATATTATATTTACATAAATTAAATACAAAATTTTGTAAAGTAACTTTTAACATTGTTTGTACTTTTAATTTTCTTGAATATTGTTTCATCATTCCTAAATATTTTAAAATAAACGTATTCTTATTGACTATATTTAACAGCTGACAAAATTAACAGAAACGAATGGAATATTATGTACTGGAATATACTTATTTAATAACTTATCGCAAGTGTTAATTACAATACTACATAACCTAGAGACATTAAAGAATATAATTTAACTTACCGCCAGTACACAAGACTGTGTTAATAAAATAAAACAAAATGTGCGGAAAATCATTTCACTATTTTTGTTGAAGACGTTTAAGTTTTTACTTCTATCCAAAGCAGTACGAGTAGCAACGAAGAATTTTGTGAGTGGTGTTTTATAAACTAACATTAGCTGTTAATAACTATACACTGCTACATTTGCATAAAATTGATACATTAGTACAGTCGAAGAGATAAGTGTTAGAAGGAATGCTTTAAATTTTCTAAGTCATGTTTGAACTTTGCATTTGAATACATATATTTTATTTTAAATATTCACCTCTTCTATCTCATTAAACAGACATTAATAAACAAAAATATTAGGCTATTGATAAAAAGTAAAGACACAGCTTCAGTATTCTAAGATGTAGTGAATTGAACTCCTTATTTCACCCATTGGAATAGAACTTTCTCTCTAAACGAAATGGCACCATCCCTGAAGTAAAATAACTTATTTAATATAACAGTTTAATTTAACGTTTTATTTTTTAATAATAATTCACTGAAGTCGACTTTGATTTTAAAATGTTGATAAGCAAGTGTCCAACTATAAACATGATAAATGTTTGGCGCTTATTTTTAATTACTTTGATGTTAATTTGATTATATTATTTATACAAATAGGGGTAATAAACGAGCACACAGTACAACTGATGGGAATTGGATGATATTTTTCAAATATTTTACTTTTATCGATCCTCGATTATAAACCTAAATGCAAAAGGGTTGTTTACCCTGAGGACTAAGAGTCTCCGCTTCTTGTCAATCACCATTTGACATCAACATCATCATCAACAGAGCAGCAAGCTGATTTATTCTGCTGTTTCTTGCTTATTATATTCTAACATTCGTTCTCCACTATAAATACAGCTGCAGTAAGGGTCAACTTCATTAAAAATATTTCTTCATATAAAATATGTTGCTACTTTCTATATTGGTTTTGTTAATAAAAATAATCTTAAGTAAATATAAACAGACAATTTACTTCACAGTTCAGTATTACTGACCATAGCCAATATTTTTTACTAAAATGGTACCTTAGAGGCTGCTCAGTTCCGCCCATCCTATAAATTACATGACTTTACAAATAAAAATAATTAAAGATTTGAGTCACGTACAATATTTGTCTTGTCTTTTTTGTTCAGACCGAGGCATCTTAGCTCTCAATCTCCTTCTACGCATATTCACTTAATTCAAAAACTAACGCAGTTTGTTGTTAGCCGACTTCGAAACTTCAAAAAGGGGGAGGTTTTTGATTCCACTGTATTACTTCAAATTTCTCCAGTTTTGAAGCGGTTTTGATTATTATTATATTATAGTTTTCAGTGTAGTTTTAATGTTACTTATGGCCAAATACCCAAACGCTACTCAATTTAAAGTGTCGTTAAGTCTCGTGGTGTCACCGTCACTTTGACTTAAAGTAATGGAGACAATACAAGTTTCATTACAATTCAGTACAATTTTCATACGTGATTGAACCATGCTGCAGTTATATTAGTAGTATAGTTGTAGCACGAATGGGTTGGCTCGATCGGGGAAGGACCACGCTCTCACAAAATACCAGCGTAAAATAGCAGCTTAATACTGCTGTGTTTCGTAAGGTGAGTGTAGAGATTCGGAGATCCTTTGTACTAGAAACGAGGCATTCCTTCTTAGTCCTCAGGGTTGACAACGCATCTGCATTTTGATTCTTAAGCGAGGAAAATGTAGATGTCTATGGACCACAGCATCCTCTATCAGGTGGATTAAAAGAAGGTTCGCCAGGTGTTCCCTTTATCTATACCGTAGGACGTTGGGATATGTGGGGTAATTCTCACATAATGCGATATCGTGATGTGGACAATAAAATTAAGACTACAGTCAAGTCTGGCAACTTTACCAATGGAAGTTAACTTTGCCATCAGGGTGTACAGGTACAAAATTACAATTAATGCGGAGAACGTTTTTCGACATACGCAATTTTTCAGAATAAAATATAATAACTAATTGAAAGCATTGTTTACGATATTAGCCATTAGAGTTCAGTTTATCATTCGTGGAATTGCGCGGCGACGTAACTTCTTTGTTCAGTGATCCAGAACTTTTCTTGATTTTGTTTGAAATACTAAATTTAGGTATTATATCTACATCTTTGAATAGTTAGGAAATGAAATATATGTTTGTATCATGGTGGTCTTAATATTAATTTAAAAAAACTGACTTGGCAAAGTTACCATACTAGTGATGTCACGATGTGATGGTTACTTTGCCATGTTTTGCTACAACCAGGGGTTGTAACTTTCATTCTATATTTTAATCGACCACGGCGATTCAAAGAAAGGATTCAATAATATATAATGAAAATTCCAAATCCTCTCAAAAATGCCCTTTAATCCGCCCATTAACTTCCTACCTAATTGCACCCAGTCACCTAGAGAGAGGCATGCTCTTATAAACTTCATATGTATCACCATCGACATGAATCGGATCATATTATAACATAAATTTCCACAGCATAAGTCAAATTTTTTTAGGTCGTCTTTTACGATACAAGCTATACAACTTTGGAACACCCTCCCCAACGATATTAAGAATGCCGCAAATAAAAAAGTCTTCAAAGTTCTTCTCCGAGAACATTACCTGAAGGAAACTACTAATTAACATTATTTTCCTTAATTTTTGTCTTTATTTCTTCTTTTTTACTTCAGATATTTATTTCATTATATATTATTCAAACATCATATTATCATTCATTTGTATATTTATTTACGAAGTTTATAAGCATGTATATATATATTATATATATATATATATATATATATATATATATATATATATATATATAATATATATATATATATATATATATATATATATATATATATGTATGTATTATTGTATGTATATTTATACTATATGTGTATATATACTTAAATGTAATGTGTATGTATGTACTTTGCATATATGTATATTTTAATGTATGTATATATTTTAATGTAATTATTTACGTATAATGGTCGCACCTGCCAACAATTGTCCTTGGCACCCAGGGTTGACTGGCAGAGAATGCCACATGGCATTAAGTCCGCCCTATGTACCCCTTTAGCTTAAGGTGTTACGTTTAAGTTTTAAAAAAAAATAAACATTACACAAGACTTACGCTTAACTTAGTTTTCGGACCTGAGATAGTGATTCCTTGAACCTCTACTGTCACTGTAGCAGTTTCTTGCCTTTCAATCCTAACTTTTTGAGGTTAATAAAACGAAATAAATAGATAACTATTATGTTATGACATTTAATATTCGTCTAGGAATCACATTTTATGCGAAAATAAAACTCGGAGGATCGGCTTCATAGAGGCACTTCGTAGCATAGAAAATGCCTTCACAAGGATCGTCATATTTACTTTCTGCAAAAAAGCATATCATCTAGCTTAGTAAAGAAAACAGTGCCAGGAAATAAACTATGATCATAATAAAGTTGGTAAGAATTACTTCGCCCGTATCCGCTCAATGAACTTTAATGTAGTGGATTTTCGCAAAGTAACGCCTGATTCAATTACTTATGATCATAATATTTCCCTGCCTATGCTTAATATAGCATTCAAAGTCACATTGTGATTAGTACTTGATAACTGAATTAATATCCATGTGACCGCCAAACCACGAAAGTTTACCGATAGGAAGTCTTTTAATTATTTGATAAAACTCAATACCCAAGACTAAAAAATCTCTAACAACTGGGTAGGTACATTTCATAACTATATAATTAGAAAACATCACTTACGAACTTCGACGCAAACGGCTACATTTTTCTTAACCGACGATTTAAGCTCCTGAGGATACAAAATATCTACTTGCTTTGATACTAACTCCTTATTAAGCCTCTCGTTTTTTACCTGTAAATTTAATTTTGTCCAGGTATTTTGATTCAATACTCTTAATCTTTATAGTTCGTAATCAAAAAATATTTACTTACTGCTTGACTCATTTTATAAATGCATGCTATATAACACATAACGTTATGCTCAGCAATAAAGACACCCTGATCAATTTTGTCAACTTGTTCTGTAAAAATATTTAATTTAAATATTTTTATTCCATACTGTTTAAAAGTTTTACAGTGAACATATTTAGATGAAATAAATATGTTTTATAACATTTATGTTATTTCAAAGGGCAAACTATTTTTAATATTAGTATAATTCGGCGTAAATAATTTTAACGTACCGTTACTAACTCCATGTTTCGGCATACATTGTTTTTTCATTATTGACAGTGTTTTCTTTAATTGCTCTCTCGACATCTATGAAATAGTATATATATATATATATATATATATATATATATATATATATATATATATATGTAACAATAAGTCAAGTAAATTTAAAAACATTTAAAAATAAACAATTACTTACTCCTAAAACATGAACTATAGCGACAGAAACAATAAAAATGTTAATTAACAGCCGTACCATTTTTTCCAATTTTGATAATGAAAGTTAAAATTTTGGTAAAATACCGTAAGGGTACAAAACCACACTGTTAAAATGAAACTAGAGTGAAGTTCAAGTCCCAGATATCTTATATTTAAGCCACCAAATAGAACCCGCCCACAGTTTATGAAAACTGGTAATTTATATTCACTAATGAGAGGTTTATCAAACGTTTAGCACTGAAATTTGTCAATTATTCAAGTAATAGGTAATGATTTGCCTCGAATCTAAGCCTCTGAAAACTGCAAAAAAAACCAGCAACTGCTATATGTTTTTCGGTTTATCAAGCATACAATAAAATTTAAATCCAAAGTCACTACTAAGTTAATAAGTAAGCCTGCAAACGGATTAAGCGTTCAAAAAATTAGTAATCAAGGATATATTTGATTACAAAACTCCATGTACTTTATATAGAAGTTTGTTTCATATCACAAGTAAAATTAAAATGAAAACTAACGTCAAGAAAACATTAAGGTAAAAAGGCAAAAATGTAATTGCGTAAAGTTACGGACGTTAAGGACCGATATAGGATAAAATTTATTCAAAAATAAAATACAACATAACTTATTTAAAATTACAGTTGTATGAAGAGTTAATCGCAGTTATTTTATATTCAGTGAGGTTTTAATTTATTTAATGGATAACTTTTATGT